GATAGGGTCATGGGGTGGGGGAATAGGGCAAGGGGCAGAGGATGAGAGGAGAAGGGGTTTGGGGAGGGGGATGGGGGTGTAGGTTTGGGTTGGGGGGTGGGGAGATGGAGGGGAAGGGCCAGGAGGCTAGCGGAAAGGACAATGGGAGGGGGCCTGTAGGGATGGGATGGGGGGTGGATAGAGGAGTGGATATGGGGAGGGGGCCCATAGGGATGGTGGGGTGGATAGAGGAGCAGGTATGGGGAGGGGGAGGGGGCTTATAGGGGCTTATAGGGATGGGGGGGTGGATAGAGGCATGGGTATGGGGATGGGGCAGGGGGGCTGGAGGAAGATGAGATGGATGTCTGGGGTGGGGGAACTGGGAAGTGGAGGGGAAGGGGGGAAGAAATGGGGCAGGAGGGGACAGGGTAGCGTGAAGTAGTATGAATTTTTAGGAGCTGGAGACAACCCAGGGCTGTGGAAATTGGGGGTGCAGTAGAGACTGAGTGGGAGGCTGAGGGGTGTGCTAGAAGAGGGGTGAGGGACAGTACCGGAAGAGGGGATTGAGTGGGAGGGTGGGATTAGAGCTTTGGGGACTGGAATAGAGAGGAAGGGGGTTGAGTCTGCCTTTGGGAATCAGGAGGGAGGCAGGAATGTCAGGGAAGTGGTGGGGAAGGAAAGAGGGGTTGGGATGGAGAGGGGGGAAGGGGAAGCATGATGGCAATGGAGGGAAGAGTGAAACGAATCGGTACTTGAGTGCTAAGCTCCGAGGAGCTGGGAAAGTATCTGCTAGGGTGTGTGGGTGCTGTGGACTGTGGGGGAAGGTGTGTTCACTGGCTACAGTGGGATTCGGGGCAGGTCCAGGGGGCTGAGGGTGGAAGGTGCCTGGCTGGTACATATCAGCTGTTTGCGAGCATACACTCCAAACCTGGTGAGTTTTAGGATTGGTTTAGGACGAATTCTGGTCCCATTGAGGGTTTGTGGATTGGTTTGTGGGGATGGCATCCTGGCCACCATGGGGCTTTGTGGTCTCTGAGAATTGGAGCCTGTGGAGCCTTCCCCGATGTGTTGCTCTTGGCTTTGAAAACAAAAATAGTTCTTCGAACTTGCAAAGCAGCTGGCATCCTTGGCGGTATGACGCCCAGCAATCCGGCAGCCTCCCGACGTGCCACCACACGTCAGTGGTGTTATGGAATCCCGCAACCCGCTCCTGTGCTGGCAAGAGGATCAGGGGTTCTGGCTAACCTCTCTGTCTGCCTACATCCTTCCCCCAGACCACACACCCACGCAGAGTCTGCCTGTATTGCTAGAGGCAGAGGACACCATATTCTACCAGCACGGTTTCCACAGCATCATCGTTGGATGGAGGGAGCCCGGGGGTTGCGAGGTCTGGAAGACACGAATGTGTGACTGCATCAGCATCCCCATTGCTGTATCCCTCACGCCTCCTCACCATTGCCATGGCAACCTCCTATTGATGGTGTATTTATAGAGGAGGAAAACACTGTTCGGAGAAGGAGGGAGGGGAACCGATCGGGTGGGTGTTGAGGCTGGGCTCTGGGTTTGGGTTCCTCAGGTTTTTGTCATCCTTAGGCAGAAAAAATTAACTATTCAGTGTCCTTTGAGGTGGAGAATTTTGAGTTCCAGACCCTGTGTTTTGTATGGGTGCCTATAATGCTGGTGTGTTTAGAAATGTGAAATTCGTGCCCAGAATATAAATTTATTTATATATAAATACATGTCACTTGCTGCTATGATACATGCACACCAATCATGTGTATAGTATACACATGAATATTGAAGCTCATATCTACCAGGTTGTTTTTCCATTGGATTAAATAGCCCTACTCCTTTGTGCTAGGAATATATTCACCTTCCTCACATGACCTGCATCCCATCAGCTGGCCCCTTGCATGCATAGTTCAAGTATTACCAGCCTGGCCTCAATCTTATAATTAAGCTTAAAATATCAGCTTTTCTTAAAATGATGCCCCCCTCCCCACACACTCATACCCCTACCCCCTGAAATGTGTCTTTTCTGAAGAGGGGTGTACACCGCTGCTCATCAGAGACACCGTGTGGCCTAATGAGCCAGGATTCCTGATTTCTAATCCCAGCTCTTGCCACTGACTTGTGTGAGGATAAATTAATGATTGTAGACCACCTTGTCCCTTCTAAGTATTGTTGATGAAGATGAGGGTTTGTGTATAACCCTCTCCTGTTGTCACATAATTTTTTATTTCTTAATGAAAACTGAACATAAGCAAAAATTAACCAGACCAAAGCAACCTCTGATTATAGCCGATGCAACTGACCACGTTATAGTCCATAGAAGATCCAATTGGATAGTTACAAGTTCTCAACCTGTGTCACATCAATGTTTTAGGGACCAAAGTTTCCTCTATTGGGCTAACCAGACCTTAGAAAAAATTTCCAGTGTTGAAAACATCTATATTGGTCCAATCTGTCTTCCTAGCGCCTGGTGCTATCTGAGATAACCTGATTTTACAGTCTGCTATCTTGCTTTCTTCCTTCATCTCCACTTTAATTCCAGCATGTATTTTGCAGTCAATATTTCACAGACTGCTAGAGATGAATGCTTTAGGCCATTGAAATGTGCATTCCATATGGCTACAGACTTATTTTCTATGTCTAACCATTCTTGATACAACAGCTTCTAAAGTCATGTAAGACATAGTTGTGGTGTTGGTGGATAGAAATGTTAATAATAACCAGAAAGAGGTTGTGTGCAAGGTTCACTACTCCCTGCCCTGTTGGGGTGAGAAACAACTGCTCTGTGCTACTGGAAGCCTTAGATTTGTGGGTTTTGAAGAGATGTGACATTTATTTCTAGCACTGGTGAGTAAAGTAATTGGGCTTAGAAACTGTTGCTGAGCTACTTAAGGACTGATCTAGATCTGAGTATTGTAAATCCTGGTCCTCAGACTAGTGTAGTTTTTATTTCTTGTTGTTTCTCCTCTTCTTCCCTCCCCCCCCCCCCCATAATAAAAGTAAAGTCTGGTGAGAATCTTTTTACTTCTCTGGTTTGCAGTGTCACTAGAGCCCCTGGATGGAATTGTGCCACTGTATTACATGGTCAGAATGAGGGGGATGGGTTCTGCTGTGCAGATCTGAGATGTGGGGAGAAAAGCCAGGGAATTCCTGTAATGATGCAGCATGGGCTTGAGCTGGCTAGCAGAGCACAATGGGGAGGTGGTAGAATAGAGTCTGAAGGATTCACTTGTGAATAGGAAATGGCTCCTGTTTGTGGAGGGACACCAGACACTTCTACACAATGTGATTTCATTGTTTACAGCAAGTTAACCTTCCAAATGTAGTATTGCCTTCCTGAGTTTGCTGACAGCTGTAGCACCACTACTGTGCTGTTAGTTTTGCCGTGCAGCATTAATGGAACTCTTCTCATTTGCACTGCTGCTATTCAGTAGGCTGAGCAGCAGTGAAACAGTCAGCAGTTGTCATTCTGCAGGTATGCGGGAAAGCTGTGAACAGCAGAAGCATCCACTGGAACTGTTCATGGAGGAGAAGGGCTCAAAAATAAATAAATTGGAGGCTGTTGAGGGCCTTGGGTAGAGTAGCAGTAGCCGGGAGGTGGGGGAAGGATAGATTAGCAGGCTGCCCAAGCCCCCTAAGCAGTGCATTCCAGCACCCTCTCTTTCTAGCGGCTGGGGATACTATTACTGTATTACTGTTACTCAACTTGTGTTGAAGTGGTGCCTTGGGCTCTGATGCATTACTGGGGCCCCTATGTGCCAGGTGCTGTACAAACTCAGAATGGATGGTCCCTGCCCCAAACAGCTTACATTCTGTGGGCAGGAGCTCTCAGTGGGGGGTAAAGGGGGTGTTTCTTCCTTCATGTGGCTGGTGTATTCACCCTAAAGCTAGCAGGTGCCAAGTGCAGTTTTCAAGCCTGTAGTACAGTATCTGTGTGCTGTGGAGATTGGCTTTGATCTAGCACCTCTGGGTGAAGAAATCTTGTTTGTTTCTCGCCCTCTGGGTTAGCTCTGGGCTCCTGGCCATCTGGCTCATCTTTCATTTTATGGACACGGTTCTGTATGCACCCAGGTGTCTAAACTCTCTTCTTCAAGGGCCTGATTCTGCGAGGTGGCTGAGCATCCTCAATTCCTACTGCCTCAGGGAGCTGAGAACACCCCAAGCAGTCTACATGAGAGAGGCTATACTAGTAGCTATGCTAATAGAGCCACCTAGAGGAGATGTGGCATAAAGAGATCTTTTGCCCAAACGACATAAGCTATGCTGGTAAAAGGACTTGTGCTGGCATAGCAGCATCTACATGGAGGTTTTTGGCAGCCTGGCTGTGTTGGTCAGCGGTGTGGATTTTTTCACACCCCTGCCCTACATAACTATTCCAGGAAAACTTTGTGGTATAGACCTGGCCTCAGCAGGTTGCAGGATTGGGCTGTAAATTCTCAGACCAGTAAGGCTCCTAAGTGCACACTGTGGGTTTAGACTGGCTGGCAGAGCTTTCCTGGCCACGTAAGAGGTGCTGGCCTTGGGGTGAAGGGTAGTTAATGTTAGGGTAGCGGATGTTGGACGTAGCCTGGCAGTGAACTATAAAGTCTGCTGTGGTGGGGAGAGGTTGTAAAGCACTTTGCAAGCCTGCATGTTCTATGCCTCTTGCCCGCCAGCCTTAGGCTAGATGATATGAAGCAGCCAGTTAATGCGTGGAGACCGGAGTGTGCTACATCTCTCCTGCATGATGTGATGGAGCAGAAGCCATGGGGGTGTTTTTACCTTCTCCTACTGAAGTGGGGCACATTTGTTCACTGAGAGACAAAGATGCCCTGAGCTGACTGACGGGAATCCCCGTAGGCGTTGTGGCCTGCTTCTTGGGCACTCTGGGGTTATGCAGAGCCGCTGATATGCTCTGTCTTGAAACAGGGGGATCTTGGGGCAGATCAGATGCCGAATGGATATGTGGGGTGGGAGGGCTGAAAGCGGGTTGGATGAGCTGGCGAGGGCCAGCTGCCATTCTGTGACGTGTGGTGTGTACCAAAGGAGCCTGGAGGCAGTATTGGGTGGGTCATAGTTTCCTGTAGAGACGATGGGTATATAGAGCTCAGCTGGGACCTGCAGCAAGCTGCCCAGGCTCCAGAAAAACCCATCTTTCCCCATGGATCAGTCCCTGCTACTCGTGTGACCAAGGGCTTGGAACCAAGGGCCTGTGACTTTGAGCGCTCCGTGACTCTCCCATTTTCTTCCCAACAGGTAGGTGAGAGCCCTGAGTATCTGAGCAAGGCAGCATGGCAAGTAAGTATTTCCCAATGAGGGCCTCAAGGGCAGGGAGGGGCAAGCGTGGTCTCTCCACCCCTCCTGGAGGAAGAGGTGTGGGGGGGACAGGTCTCTTGCACGTGGTGGGGGAAAGGGCTGGCAGCCTCCTCTTTGAGAAGATGGTAGGGAATAGTCTGTGTTGCCTTGGATCTCAGAGGTGGGGCAGTGTCTTGGCTCCTTCTAGGATCAGAGGCATGAGGCATGGCTTTATCTCTTCCTGCGCATCTCTTTGCTGTATGTTCCCTGGCTGCAGAGTCAGAGTCTGGTGTCCAGTAGAGTAGCTGGGTGAATTTCTGGTCCCTCTCGCACACCTGTAACACACCAGGCATCCCCACTCAACTGTGCATTTTCAGTTATGCCACCATTTGGCTCAGCCTTGCTCTCACCACCTTACCAAGCCAGAGTGGGCACGGATCGCTGGCATAATAGCCCCAGTCGTGCATGGAGTCCTGCTCTGCCCTTCCCACAGTGTACTGGTCACTGCTTAGGCAGCCTGCCTGGTCTGCTTTCTATGCTGCGTGGCACAGGGGGCCATTTGGCTTGGGGCCTGTTACCTGTGCTGCCCAGGCGGTGGCGCTCATTTGTGCACTGTGTTCACAACAACCCACTTCTTCAGCAGCAATTTGACTTTGTTCTGCTCCAGTCGCCAGCATGGCTCTGAGGAGGATTTCCTGGGAGCATGGTAGGGGCAGATCTGAGAGTGCTGTGGGCATTGGTGACTAGCTGGGGAGGGGAGGTGACCCAGGCCCTGCAGTCGCTATGTAAGTGAACAGCCAAGTAACCCACTGCAATGGCCGCTGCTCGGACTAGCGAGCTGTGCTGGGACAATATCAAGGGCCCGATGGTTCAGTATGATAAAGCTGGGACAATAATAGCAGGGTGGGAAAAGCATGTTTGATCTTTAAAGAGCTACACTGAATCCTTCCTGCTCGCTCTTGTGGGCAGCCTGATGTGCTGCTGCATGGCACAGAGGCTGTGTGCGGTGCTCCGCTGAGAGCTGAGGATAGCCCTGGTTCTGAAGCCAGACTGGGAGAGGCCAGGGATCTTGCTGGGATCTTGGGATCTGCTTGGGGCATGCCAGGATCCAGACCTAACAGTGGAGACAGCGGTCAAGCTGAGCCAGCAGGAGGACCCGGGGGACGAGGGCTGCTCTGTGCCAGGTATGCAGCTCTTTGTTATATGTATTGTGCCAGTGAGGAGGCTGAGTGCAGGTGCAGGGGGAAGAGTTTTGTGGCTTCTTATGGATGCTGCCATGACTGTTTTTTAAAAGGCACTTGTCGCCTCAGACAAGGGTGGAAGGCCTCACCTCTCCCCCTGCCCTCCCTGGCTCCACGGCTACCAGGCCCTTCCCGAATAATTCCCCAGTTCTGGCCTCCCGCTCAGTAACCCTGCCCAATGCCTTTCTGGCTGTATGAGCCGTGTTTGCTGTTAGGGTGGCCGTACCCAGCAGCCACTGAGCAATGCCATCTGCCTGGACTTGAAGCTGGCAAAGTAAGGGGGGAAAACAAAAATAACACAAACTGCAGCTTAAGCCTACGAATAAGACCTGGGTGGCAGGAAGCTACCTCTTGGCTGCTGTGGCCAAATGTTTGTGGCACTGCATCTGTTGGCCCCTGGGCCATGGCATCCGATTAGCATTCTGCTCTTATCTGGCCTCAGTCACATGCCGTTCTGTCTGATTAATGCATGAAAGACAGTCATTGGCATATTTTGATAGCAAAGTGATGTAGATCTAACACAGGCCATGGGAGCTGCCAGGATAATTACTGCTTACCCTACCTGCTGTCAGGCACTGAATGCATTGAAAGAAATCTACCGTGGATACCAATTAACCTTAATCCTTATTCCTCTGTGTCTGTAAACCTTTCATAACGCTTGTGCTCTTCAAGGGCACACCCTGCTGTTGAGAGTCAGTGGGGCTCACTGGTCTTAGTGCCTTTGAAAATCGCCCCCCCCCGATCCAGTTTGGAGGCAATGCTTATTCCCCTTTACCCTGAGAACGGGGGAGGGCAAACTGTGGCCCGTGGGCTGGATCTGGCCCGTCAGGGCTTTCAATCCAACCCATGGGATTGCCAGCCCTGTGGCGCAGAGGGGCTAAGGCAGAGTCCCTGCCTGCCCTGGCCCTGCGCCACATCCCTGTGGTCCCTGGGAGAGAGGCGGGGGTAGAGGGCTCCGTGCACTGCCCTCTCCTGCCGGCACTGCCCCCCGCAGCTCCCATTGGCCAGGAACAGGGAACCGCAGCCAATGGGAGCTTTGGGGGGGGGGGGGTGGTACCCGCAGGCAAGGGCAGCGCACGGCGGAGCTGCCTGCCCCACCCCACCCCCAGGAGCCACTGCCGGAGATGCTGGCCACTTCCGAGAGCGGCACGGGGCCTTAGCCTTGCTTTGTGCCGCTGCCACCCCAGAACCGCTTGAGGTAAGCGGGGCCGGAGCCCACACCCCAAACCCCTCCTGCACCCTGCACCCTAACCCCCTCCTGCACTACACACCCTCTCCTGCACCCCGACCCTGTCCCCTGAGCCCCCTCCCATACTCTGCGCCCCCTCCTACACCCTGCACCTGTCCTGCACCCCAACCCCTTGCCCTGAGCCCCTTCCTGCACACTGCACCCCCTGCCCCAGCCCTACATTCATGGCCCTGCATACAATTTCCCCACCCAGATGTGGCCCTCGGGCCAAAAAGTTTGCCCACCCCTGCTGTAGAAGCTCACGCAGCCCCTGCTTTCTCTGAGCCTGTCCCCCAGTGTCCATTCCAGTGACTACAGGGCTAACCTGCCAGCCTCCCCCCTTGCTCTGACATCCCTTGCTTACTCTTGCTGGGACCATCGGCACAGACATGTCTCCGAGGCTCCTATTTGCCTGATAAGTAGCCTTTGGTAGTGTGATTATACTGACTGTCAGTAGCTCCCCATCCCTTCCGTGTCCTTCGTTCCAATGATTTAGCATCTCCACCCTTCTTGTAACAGTTGTGAATTCTAAGGGGTCCTTGCAGGCTCCAGTCCAAGGAGAGCCTTTCTGGAGGCACTGGCATTCGAAATTGGGCTAGAACAAAGACTTCCATTGTGTTCCTTGGTGATCCAAGGAATGATTGAGCTTTTGCTTCACTTATTGAAGCTCTTATTTGTTTCTTTTCATTATAGAAGCCAGTACAGCACCGTGGATGTCCCAGAGCAGGGAACGGGCCAGGTTGCACAGTGGTGGAAAGGCTGGCAAACCTGAGGTCCAGGAAAAGCAGGGAACAGGCTTGTTACTTCAGGAAACACAGAGGGAGACTCAAAGGAGCTCAGAGCGAATGTTCCAGTGTGAGGAGGAGGAGGAAGTGAGATGCGCTCCTGAAAGACTGGATGGGTCGAGGCAAGAGGAGGAGCTGGTGCCAGGCTATTTCCAGAAAGATAGGAAATGACTTGAGGATAGACAGCTCCATTGTGAAACCTCCACCCAGTGCACAAAGGCTGAAGAGCAGATGGTAGCCAAAGCTGATCCAGCAACCGATCCCTGCATCATCTGCTCAGTACTACCCTGCTAAGCTGGCCAGTGCTCCTCTCGGGACAGCTCCCTCACAGCCATTCCCCATGAAATTCCTTCACAGAGACTGAAGAAATAGGAGAGCTGGGGCCCCAGCAAGATGCACTTGATGATTGTAAAATAGTCTCTCCATTGCCATTTTTTTTGTAAATATGTTGCTGTGGTCTAGTATTGAAGCTGGCCTGCATCTCTGTATAATAAAGTAGATTCTGGAGAAAAGTCATTGTAATTCACATCCTTCACACAGTTCTTTATTATCCATGTCGAGCTGTCTGCAGTGACTCAGGAGCCTGAGTACCAACCTCAGGGCAGACTGCTAAGAACCAGGGCACAAACCCCAAATTGCCTGTGAGTTCTATACTTAGATTTCGCCAGTCAATTATTAAGTGTAAACTCCTCAGGCACGATAGCCTTAATATGGGGTCACAGACAGACTCCTGGGGTACTCCCATCTGTCTTGCCACCCAGGCGAGCCTACCTTTGTGATAAACGGTCCCTTACACCAAGAATCACAGCAATATTCAGTTTACTTTAGTTCCAAAGGACCAGTCACTTACCGTACATCAGTTTCACTTTAGATCTCGCACTGAAGACAACACTTGTAACCAATCCTATAATAAACTATCTAAAGATTTATTAAATAGAAAAGGAAATGAGAGTTATTTACAAGATTAAAGCAGGTAAACATAAATATACAAATGAGTTACAATCTTAAGTTTCAAGAGGTAATAGAAGCTTCTATAAAAAGCAAGCTCTATATGTCATTTAGGGCTAACCCAGGCTAAGCTCTGGGGATCTTTTGCTTATGCATAGAAAATCTTGCCCCCCAGAGTCCAAGCAGCATAGAGATCCAGTTCTTTCTTGTTAGGTGTTTTTATTCCTATCTCCCCATGCATGGGACTGGACTAGATGACCTCTCAAGGTCCCTTCCAGTCCTATGATTCTATGTGCTCTGAGTTGTGAACTCAGCTGATGGGAGGAATCCACCTGAATGACTCATCTTTGTGGTGTAGGGGAGAGCAGAGCAACAAATGTCTTTTGTTCTCTTTAATGTTCTACAATAGTTCATCTGGTGTTGATGGGCCTTCCTCTTGGTCAGGAAGTAACACCTTCTGTTGGTGACCAGCACTTTACACTAGTTAATATCTCTCTCCTGTCTGGTGATCTACAGTGTCACAGAAGCTTACAATACAAATGCTTAAATATTACTTATAGAGTCTGTATCCCATATTGTAAGGTGAGATTAATGCATGCAGCAACTCACAAGCAATCAGTAAAGTCTAAACATGTTATTAAATTCTAATACCTATTTTAATAACACTAACACACAGGTGAGCAAGACTGCTTCCAGCTGTGTATTTTTCAGTGTTCAGTTGAGACATGGGGACCTTAGTATGAGCTGCTACCTGGTCTGCCAGTGTCGCAATCCGTACAACAGCAGTTCTCTCTTCCATAAACTCCCTCATTAATAAACCACAGGGAAAAAAGTAAATGCAGTTACCCATCAAGTGTATCCCCTCATGACCAAAAGATGGTGGCATGTCATAGCAGTAATTGCTAATACTACTCCAGAGGCATTGATGTGTATACTCCATAAAACCACTCACCATACCAGTTGAGAATAGGAAAAATGAAGGTCACATGAAAACAAGGAGAAACCTGCCACCAATATAGCAACAAATGACTCCTAGTTAAAGACAAGGTAACATTTTTAGTTAACTGCTAGCATGATCCTTCTTCCAAGTCCTGCCATTAGTTAGAAAGTGTGTGCACAGAGCCCTTGTTATCTGGCCAAATCGCAGGCTGTGCTAATGAACAACTGCTTCATGTGTAACAGTTTGGCTGTGTGTAAGTTGCTTCAAATCCTGCTGCCCTCTCACTCCACTGTGCACAGGAGACCTTGCCTTTGCTTTCACATGGATTTTGCAACATGCATGTGATTGCAGATATAATTGCTACAGTAGTCAGTGAAGTGTCACGGCTGGTAACCCACCTGGCCTTGTCTCTCAACTGTGCACTGTCCTGGGTACAGGTCTCTGGGTTTGTGTCATCTGAGAATGGTTTCATAAACTGAGGCACTGGTTGGCCTGCAGGGTGAGCCTGAATTGCTGTGGGGATGGAGACCCCATCAGTGCCTGTGCCCTTCAGTGAGAGTAGGATTCACCTGGAAGAGTCCAGAGTGTTTGACCATTCTGCTGTGTGCTCTGAGCACCCTAGGTATGTTTGCATGATCTTCCTGTGAACCCCAGTGAGTAGGACCCCTTCCTATGAGCACATTCTGACTTGTTGGGACAGAGCACACAATAGGCGCATAGGTTCCATTGATTGGAGCCAACCTGGTTATTTAAATCCATGAATTCTCTCTGCTACCTTGGCTGCTCTGATCTGAGCACATGCCACTGCATGGAATGCCATGCCATTGCGAGAGTCTGAAACCAGCACCTGCAGGAGACTTCCCAGCCCCAAACTGGGACCCAAGGGATAAATAACTGTCCTGGGTGGATAGCTTCCACAGGGCAATTGCCACTCTTCTGCAGGGTGATTGGCTGTCTCCTCCTTGTGGGCTGGTGCTTCCGCGTTGGGGCTAGTCCCACACCCACTGCACTGAAAAGTGTCCTTCCTTAGTATGAAGTTATGCAGCTGCTTGCTGCACCTCACAGGTCCTGAACCACTTGGTGTCCCCAGTCTGTGACATGGTGTGGACCCAAAGTGGGATTTCATCTGCAGAGTGTCATCCTTGCATACTGCACAGATCCAGCCATAGGTGGGGTAGGGGCATGAGCATTGCAGCTGAAGCTGCATGAGTGCTGGTATTGGTCTCTGGCTCTTCACAGGTGCTGTCGGGGCTCTCCTGTACCTCGTAGCAGCTGTTGGATGCACCTCAGGACGGCTTCTCCAAAGCTCCAGCTGGAATCATTCCTGAGCTGAGCGTTTGTCCTGGCCCATTTGATAAAGGGAGTCGGAAATAATGCCAACTCCTGGGGAACTATGGGAGTTTGGCCTCATCTCCGACAATCCCTCTGGGGTCACAGAAGGCCTTTTAGAATCTCCCACCCTGCAGTGGTGTGCTGGGAATGTGGGATTGGTAATGCAGCATAAGGTGGGGGGGGGGGCAGAGCACAGCTAGCATAGGTGCATTGGCCAGTTGGTACTTAGACTGGCATCATCCTCTGCTGCAGCTACCGCGGTTCAGCGCTGGTGCAGATGCCGCCTAATCTGCTGGCCTATAATGTGCAGCATGGGCTGAGGTGACGATGTAGAGAAGGGCTGCAAAAGCCCCACTCTCCTTCCCTCAGACAGTGGCGCCTCTTAACAAAGAGTCCCTGCTCATCATTGGTTCTGGCAGCAAATAGACGCATGGCGCTTTGGTTCTTCTGAGCAGAGGTGGTGTTGCCGGCAACGCAGCCTGCCAGTGGAGGGCGCAGACCCTCTGCTGTCGGAGCTCCTGTTCCTCCATCCATGCCTCTTCCCTGTGCCCTGGGGCTGCCTCCTCCTGTTGTAGCCATAAATGGGGCGGTGCCATAGCGGTACCAGTTGTGCTCTGGTCCCCTGTCGCAGTGGGCACTTTGCCTGTAATCCAGCTGGTGGTTCCCAGCCTATTGAACTGAGTGCACGTGTTATTATAAGGAACCAGGGCAGGCGATACAGGATGGCTGCATCAGCCCAGATTGGGTGTTGCGCAGGTTTCTGGTGCTGTTAGACAGGAGACTGCAGGTGGGTGATATTGCAACAGGACACCCTCAGCTGCATTCAGGGAGCAGGACCAAAGGCCAGGGTTTTAACATGAACAATATACCCCAGGCGTGACTAAAATCCCCCTGGAGCTTAGCTGATGCTTTTAGTGGATGGTGGCCCAGAGCTGCATTGTGTGGGTTGGTTGCGGGCTGGGTTCTGATCTCCTCCCCCCCCTGCATCCCAACAGCACTGGCTTTCTCTTGGGCAGAGGGGCGGGATGGACAATAGCACCGAGGGCCTGAAGTTACAACCAGCCCAGTGTAGGACTCACAAGTTTTCCCCTCAATCTAGTCCTGCACGCTCTTTGAAGCATTCAGGGCTGTTGAGAGAGGGGGATGGACTGTGATATGGCAGTGCCGAGGTCATTGTGTTCTGCTGGTAGGGGACTATTAAAGCTCTACTTGTGAATCTCTCTTGCCATTGTCCTCCCTCAGCCCAGTGCACGGTTCCCGTCTGGCTCCATCACGCTAGCACTGGCCAGCTTGGTCCTAGGCAGTGGGAGAGCCTGTAAGGGCTGCTCAGCTCCTGCTCTACCCTCTCTCTGGTAGGAGGTTGTGCCTTCTTAGCTAGCGGGACTGGGTGGGCGGACTCTAGCACTGGGTTGTGTAGCATAGCCAATGGGCACCTGTGCTGCTGGGTACCCGAAGCTGCCATCTGTGTAGTAGCCTGTGCCCTGTGGCAGTGAGAGGCCACTGGTTGGATCATTGTGGGGCTGGGTGTGCGGGAGTCCTCAGCGCCTCTCTGTGTTGTGTGTTGCAGTGTTCCTGGGGGCCAAGAACGCCCACTCAATTCTCAAACGCTTCCCCCGGGCCAACAGCTTCCTGGAGGAGTTCCGCCAGGGCACCATTGAGCGGGAGTGCATCGAGGAGATCTGCAGCTATGAGGAGGTCAAGGAGGTGTTTGAGAACAAGGAGAAAACGGTACACGGGGGGCGAGATCTGTGGGGACCAGAGCCTGAGGAGATGGAATAACTCAAGCCCTGAGGGGGGTGGTGAAGGAGATGGAGGGGAGAGAGAGTGGATTGCTCTGCCCATGAGGTGGTTTGTTCCCTGGGTGTCAGCAGGAAACCTGAGCTCACTTTTCTGTTACCCACCTCTCCCACGCAAGGCCATCTCCCGCCAGGTGTCCTTGCACTGTGAGCCATGGTGTTGGCAAGGCATTGCTGGCACTGCCACCGTGTGCTTGTGGCACACTCCCTGCCCTCCAGTCTAACCAGGGCAGGGGATGGTGCTAGCACAGGCGCCCTCGGCCTCTCATTGGGCCACTTGCTGCTGTCAGGGCGAGAGCCCAGAAACCTGTGCACTGGTTCCCATGATGTCTCAGGTACTGGCTCCCTGGTTTGTGCTCCGTTGGAGGGGAACCAGTAGGAGGTGGCGGAACAGTTCTACCTCAGCTACAGAGTGGAAGTCGGGCATGTAAGCGAGCAGCCCCTTGCGGCTGCCCTCTTCCTTTGGCCCCCAAGCTGAGGGGCG